ACCTTGCCTTGCAGCATTCATAAGGTGTTGGGTAGTTGATTCTTGATCCATGTCGTATCCTGAATTATCAGGTTCTTCTCCTTCTTCATTGTCTTCCTTCCCTCCTGATATAGCTCCAAATGCATTCTTTTTAGGGACCAAGACCTTCTCTTCTCCTCTTTTTAACAGCTGCAACTGGTTTTTCTCCAATGTAACAGTAATATTTACTATTTCTGTTTTTTTTTGTTGTTTCTCCTTCTCTGTTGTGTTGTGTCCTTGTGGGTCTTCTTGTGATTTTTGAAGTTTATCATCTTCTGTTCCTCCAGGATCATTTACCTCTGGGCCTCTTCCTTCATAGTTTCTAATTTCTGTGACTTCTGCTATCTGAAAATTATTGTTGTGCTCAACATTTTCTGATCCTCCCTTTATTAAACAATTACCAGTTGTATTGTTGTCATTGCCATGGGGCTCTCCATTTACACTTTGCTCATCTTCTTCTTTGTCCTTCTCATTTGGTTCCTCATCAGCTTGTGCTCCTAGTGGTACTTCGTTCTCCTCTGAATCGTATTCCCTTTGTGCATCCCATAGCCTGCCTCCACAGCCTTGCACTCTTTCATTAAATGTAGACGATTTTGACTCTTCTGCTTGAGAATTTGGAGTTTTATTAAGTACCTTGTTCACTAATGTATCTTGTGATGAGATTTCCTGGCATGGTTTATTGATCTTCACTATTCCTTCTCCTATTTTATCCTTGAAACTTCTTTCTACCCATTGTGCAGTATCATATTTTGCTTTTGATGCCTCCTTTCCATTGACTAGACCATTAGTCGAACTAATCCCCGATGAGTTAAGATGAAAAGCTTGTGCTGCTGGATTTAACTTTCCCTCATTATTGACCATATTTTTTGGTTTTTGCTTTGTAGATGCTTGGTTATGAAGTGCTGAACTGTTTGTTGCTGCATTAGCTGCCACCATTGCCAATTGATTAACAGGTTCTTCCTCTTCATCCATCCCTTGTAATATTACAAACTTGTTAGCTACTTGAACATGATCATTATCTTCATTGTCTACTGAATTCCTTACCACTGTTGCTTTGTGCTTCTGCTTGTCTCTCTATAGTGCTTGTACCCTCCTTGTTCTTATTGTTTTCAAACTGCTTAGCTGGTGCCATCTCCATTCCATTATTATTGAGACTAGTATTTTGATTTACTACATTTCTAACTCTGTTGTCCTTCACTTCCTTCCATTGCTCTTTTGCTGTAACATTCACATTACCCACGACCTTTCCACTAGATAACATCATTATAGGCTGTGAGTTCCCTATGTCCTGTTTCTTAGCTGTATCTGCTTGGTTATCATTCTCCTTCTCCACATATAGTTCAGGGTGGATTTTTGTTTCTGATTTTTTTTTAATTTTTGGGAAAAATACTTCAAAATGAAGGAAGCCTGTATTTTGGATTTTGATTTTTAATTGATTTTTTTTATTTCATTTTTGTAAACATATGAAAGACTTTAGAAAGAAGGATTTTTTGGGGGGTTTAATAATCCTTTTTTTATTGTTTTTTTTTATTTTCTAAGGAAAGATTTTCTAAAGAAGGAACTAAAGGAAAATATATTTTGGATTTTTGAAAATTGAGGTCGGAACCGATGAGGTTTGCCTACGTATCTCACATCCGTTGAGAATAAGACACGCATAGTTCGGTCAGCTTTGACGGAACAAGGGAAACATAGCACTTGAAAATTTTGGCTCATTTTGAAATGACTTTTTTTTTTAGAACTTTGGAAGAGTTTTAGGATTTTCAAATACCTACCGCACTCTTGATTTATTTATTTTTTTGATTTTTTTTATTTTCTTTCCCTATTCTAGAAGCCAATCAACATGCAAGCCGAGACAAATAATTGTACAAGTAGCACACAAGATGCATCAGGATGATTTTTTTAATTTGGGTACACCTGTCCTAGACGGACCCAATCCTTGTGTTGAGTCCCCAAAGTCAAATGCACATGATGCAAACAAGCGTTCTTACTAGGGATCCGGCATGAGGCTGAGTTATTCTAGGTTTAAAACCTGGGTGTATTGTTCTAGACCTGGCTTACCCGAGTGGACAACTCGAGCCGAGGGGGGCAGCGTACCGGTAACCAAAAGATCATCCAGCTTTGCAACTTATCCGAACCTCTTTCTAATTTAGGGTATGATACTAACAAAAAAGAAGTCACGCTATCGTGCACTTCCCAGAAGATGAGAAGAGAAGGGTTCCACAACAGTTTATATACAGTTCAAATAATATAAAAGCGGTAAAAAGAGGCATTTAGCACATTAGGCCCAAACATGTAAAAATCAGATAATAAATAAAGCCAAGTATAATAGTTATTCTAAGCTCGAATTCTTGAACCCTGAACCAAAAGTTCTGGGCTATGAATCCCTAGCAGATTCGCCAGAGCTATCACATCTCCTTTTTTACCACCCGAGAGGGGATATAAGGAAGTTTTTCCAATTTAAGTGACATTATTCGAAATGAGATTATTTTATTTATTTCTTTAGAGTCGCCACTTGGAATAGTTTATTTGGGTGTCCCAAGTCACCGGTTTATTTTAAATCTCAAATCGAGGAAATTTCGACTTTATTTAAAAGTCTGCAAACTAGAAATTCTAAGTAAGGAATTCTGTTAACCCGGGAGAAGGTGTTAGGCATTCCCGGGTTTCGTAGTTCTAGCACGGTCGCTTAAACTATTAATAATTGACCTAATTATCTGATTTACTATGTGTTTTAAAACCTATTGCGTATTTTAACTTTATAACCGCTTTTAATTATTTAAACGCTTTTAGGATTTATGGATTTATTTCTTGAACAAGTTATGATTGTCGTACACTTGTTTGTTTTGGAACACGCCACGAACCACGCTACATGAAATGCACCCGCGATTCACGATATGTTTATTTTATTAATATTCGAAGTTGTTATGATCGGTTACATGAAATGCACCCCCGAATTTGGGAATTAGGTATCATGACTATGCCACGGGAACCGTACCCATAGTCATGATGATTCATTATAAAACGCGCCTAAAGCAAACTACGAGGGTTCAAAGTATTTTCTACACTAGTCATGAATGTTCCAAGTCTTTTTACACACGGGTTTGGTATTAATGCATATGATTACAAAAACAATTCAATTAGTGCTTGATTTGAAGATTGAAACACTAGACAAATAGCAGTATAACCACCAAAAATATGAGTTTTTAGTCATTTTCTACCATTATGGAAGCTTGTCAAAGCGGCAAGATCTAAGTCTTAATTCATTTATATTAAAATTATGCACATCACTATAAAACTTTTTAAGATAACATACACAATAGAATAAAAATTTGTCACTCATCTTGTTCTCCTCTTTGGTTCTAGCTTATCTTAGTTGACTGAAAATGTATCTATCATGTGTTTCATTGAAGATTGCATTGCAAAACGAAAATCCTCCCTCGTAGGCATACCTAGAAATCAGAAGTCACAATCTGAATATGCAATCCATATTCCATTCAAATTTGTTGGTGCGAAACAGAAGAGTTTGCTGGAAATAGATTCCATTGCAAGCAGTTTTAAGATGGATAAACACCGGGCAAATCTAGATGTAATCATCCATCCACTGAATATCATGATGTGACTGCTGAGACGTCTCATCCTCGGAGTGACAACAGAGAGTTGAACAAAGCAGAGAAAGAAAAGAAAGGAGCAGCGAACAGAAGCCTATGCGGATGTGTAATTTTGCCTTAACCGGATTTATTTCCTTGATGTAGCAACAAAACAATGAGAAACAGCAATAAGAACTAGAACTGGGGCCTAGCAATGGAGGAAATCGGCAGCACTCAACAACAATTCCACCAAACAGTGTTGAGAAAAATCCATAAATGCTAAGCTAAGGAGCATAAATTAAATCCTTGCAGAATATCCCTTGCACTCCTATTTTTCTTCCCTTTTTTTGAAGTTTTTCAGTATTTCAAATCCTAAATGAACTTTTGAGTTTTCAGGACTCTTCTTAGTTGCTTCTAAAAAAATTCAGTTGTTTTTGCGTGAGTGAGAATGTGTGATTGAATGGAGAGTGAATGAGTCCTTTTTTGGATATAGGAGAGGTTTGGAGATAGAGGAGGAAAGAGGAGCAGCGACGTTGTATATTTTTCGGTAAAGGAAATGGAAAAATCTAATGCTCTCCTCTTCTAGGTCTAACGATGTTAGGTTTTAGTTCTTTTAGCAGAGAGGGTAAAGTGGGATGGGCTGGGCCTGGACGGATTGCATTAATTGGGGCTAATTTAAGGATTGACCCAATTTTGAATAAACAAGACCAAACATTTTCCTATTTTTCTTTTATTTGTTTTTCCCCCTTTTTTTCTTTTTCTTTAATTAATTAATATCCTAAATTAATCTATTTTTTGTAGAAATTGAAATTGTTTATTTATTTTTAACATTAAAACAACTAATTAACTTAAAACTAAAGAAAATGCTAATTTTAAAGACAAAAATCTAAATATGCAAAAATGACCATTTGTTGTGATTTTTACTTAATAAAATTAATTCCTACATGCAAATTGAACCTAAGATGACATGAAATTAAAATATGGCAATTTTTATGATTTTTCTATGATTTTAAAATATTAAAAATGCATGAAATGCAACTAAATAAAGAAAAACTCCTAAAAATCAATTAAAATTATTTTTGGTCTATTTTTAGGAGTTATTTTCATGTAGGGCAAAAATTAGGTGCTCACAGGTGCAGCACGGTGGTGCCAAGCAGGTTACATTGGGAGATGATGGAGTTTTGAGGCTGCGGGGTAGAGTTTATGTGCCTAATGTGGATGCGCTTCGGGAGTTGATTTTAGAGGAGACCCATAGTTTCCGGTAATCTATTCATCCGGGCGCCGCTAAGATGTATCAGGGTTTGCGACAACATTATTAGTAGAGGAGAATGAAAAAGGACACTATTAGATTTGTGGCTCGGTGTTTGAATTGTCAGCAGGTAAAGTACGAGCATCAGAAGCCTAGTGGTTTGTTCCAGAAGATTAAGATTCCTAAGTGGAAGTGGGAGCGTATCACTATGGACTTCGTTATTGGACTCCCATGGACTCAAAGGAAGTTCGATGCAGTGTGGGTTATTGTTGATAGGCTGACCAAGTCAGCACATTTCATTCTGATAGCAGTCTCCTATTCTTCCGAGAGGTTAGCTAAGATCTATATTCGGGAGATTGTTCGTCTTCATGGTGTGCCCGTGTCTATCATTTCGGACTGAGGTACGCAGTTTACCTCACATTTCTGGAGAGCGGTTCAGCGTGAGTTGGGCACACGGGTTGAGCTGAGTACAGTATTTCATCCTCAGACGGACGGGCAGTCCGAGCGCACTATTCAGATTTTGGAGGATATGCTTCGAGCTGGTGTGATTGACTTTGGAGGCTCATCGGATCATTTTTTGCCATTAGCAGAGTTTGCCTACAACTACAGCTACCAGTCGAGCATCCAGATGGCTCCTTATGAGGCTTTACATGGTAGGCGGTGTCGGTCACCGGTTGGATGGTTTGAGTCGGGAGAGGCTCAATTGTTGAGTACGGATCTAGTCCATGATGCGTTGGACAAGGTCAGGATCATTCAGGATAGGTTTCGTATAGCTCAGTCCAACAAAAGAGTTATGCTGACCGTAAGGTTCGTGATTTGGAATTCATGGTCGGTGAACGGGTATTACTTTGGGTATCACCTGTGAAGGGTGTAATGAGATTTGGGAAGAGGGACAAGCTTAGCCCTAGGTTTATTGGCCCGTTTGAGATTCTTGATCGAGTGGAAGAGGTGGCTTATAGACTTGCGTTGCCACCGAGCTTATCAGCCGTGCATCCAGTATTTCATGTGTCCATGCTCTAGAAGTATCACGGCGATTCATCTTACGCTTTAGATTTCAGCACTGTTCAGTTGGATAAGGACCTGTCCTATGAGGAGGAGCCGTTAGCTATTCTAGACGGGCAGGTTCGTCAGTTGAGATCGAAGAGTTTCCCTTCTGTTCGTATTCAGTGGGGAAGTCAGCCTGTTGAGGCATCGACCTGGGAGTCCGAGTTCGATATGCAGAGTCGTTATCCCTATTTGTTCCCCGACTCAGGTACTTCCTTCTTATGTCCATTCGAGGATGAATGGTTGTTTTAGAGGTGGAGAATGTGATGACCCAAAAGGTCATCACTTGTTTTAGAAATAAATTATGTATTTTGATGCCTTAAAAACCTCTTTCTGTCTCACCTCAATTTACGTGCACAGCGGGCGCGTATCCGAAAAGCCATT